ATATAGACAGCACAGGAACAGCCCCCTTGGCTGAATGAACCCACAGAAAACTCGGGTCAAGTTTCATGATCCAGTGGGATACAGGGGTGTGTGTGGAGGTGGGGGTGGCAGGGATCAGTGAAACAAACCCTAGCCGGTTTCGCTCAATGGATAGAGCACTGGCCTGTGGACTGAAGGGTCCCGGGTTCGATTCCAGTCAAGGGCACTTGCCTGGGTTGCAGCTCCATCCCCAGAGTGAGTGGCATGCAGGATACAACTGATCAAAGAGTATTTTTTTTAGCCGAAACCGGTTTAGCTCAATGGATAGAGCAGTGGCTTGGGGACTGAAGGGACCTGGGTTCAATTCCGGTCAAGGGGATGTACCTTGGTTGCGGGCATATCCCCAGTAGGGGGTGTGCAAGAGGCAACTGATCGATGACTCTCTCTCATCGATGTTTCTAACTCTCTATCTCTCTCCCTTTCTCTCTGTACAAAATCAATAAAATATATTTCTAAAAAAAAAAAGATTATTTTTTAAATAAACATTTTATTGATTTTTTTACAGAGAGGGAAAGGGATAGTTAGAAACATCCATGACAGAGAAACATCGATCAGCTGTCCCCTGCACGCCCCCTACTGGGAATGTGCTTGAAACCAAGGCACATGCCCTTGACTGTGAGCCTTCAGCCTTCAGGCCCACACTCTAGCCACTGAGCCAAACCGGTGAGGGCCTGGTTAGTGATTCTCAACATTGATGTTTCCATCCACACCTATCTCTGAAATCAATCAATACAAACATGTTTAAAATAAAAATATAAAGGAAACAAAAGTATACTTCCACTTTGGAGAGGGAGGTGTGATTACAGGAACGTTGCTAACTGTTGAGTCAGCTTAGCTTAGAATAAAATCAACCAAGTGTCCTTTATTTAACCGACATTTTTCTGCCCCAAATGGATGGGCAACAGCACAGCCTTTCCCTGCAGGCTTCCCGGTGGAGGGGGCTGTGGTGAGGGCCTGGGGCTGCTTCCGGACACCACTCTCAACCCGCTTGAAAGATTTACACTTGTACTTTGTCCTTTCTTGTTGCCTACACAGCTAACAAGCCAAGAGACTGACTGGGCGTGCAGGCCCACGGCCCACGGGGAAGGAGAAGCAGGCTTGAGGAGTTTTAGAACATCTGGTCCCCACCTCCACCCCCACCTCAGTAACCATGCTGACTCCGATGCATGAGCACGTGTGTTTGATGCTGCTGCTGTGGAAACGGTAGCATCTGGTCTGATGGGTGAGAAGGCCACCCTTTCAGAGGCAAGGATTGTGAAAACCAGTAAGTGCCTGCTGATCAATTAGAACAGAGCGGGTGGAAAGACCTAACCAACCCACACCCGAGTTTCTCACTCCAGGCCTGAGTTCACTCGGGCTTAACGGGCAGACCCCTGAGTGACGTTTCCAACCTAATCCTCCTCCAGGAAACATCTCTGCCCTGGCAAAACCGCTAGCACGTTCCTTCGCCCAGTTCTGTTTTGGAAGCATAAAGTGGTTCCCGCCCCCCCACCCCCACCCCCCCACCCCGCCCATCCCCTATAAGCCGATTCCCATCCGTTGCTCCTTTCTCTCATCCACAGCCTCCATTTGCTATCCGTACCGGGTACTTACCCACAGCAACTGCCACCGGGTCCCGCCGCCTCTGCCCGGAGGCCCTCAGGCGGGCGGGGAGCTTCTGAACCACCGCCAACAGGACGATGCAGCCGAGGTGCCAGCCAGAGGCGGCCAGCAGGGGGCGCACTGCGAGCAAAACAAAACAAAACAAAACAAAACAGTTTGTGAGAAACAGAAAAGACAAACACTGCTTCCTGGGGGACAGAGAGGAGCCGGGCCGCCTCGGGCGGGCAGAGGCCTCCCACTCCCCGGCGCTCGGAGAGGTGGGGGGACCGTGGGGGGACCCCGAAGGCTGGGAGCGAGGGCGGGCGGGCGGGGAGGGGGCGCAGCGAGGCCCGGAGGCGCGCGCCGTGGCCCAGGGATCCCAGGGGCCGCAAGGACAGGACTTGATTTCCAATAAAAAACACACAAAACAGTGAACTGAAAATAAAGCGGCCGCCGCCGCGGGAAGCGCGGCTCCGGGAGGGAGAGGCTCCCAGGCCCCGCCCCTCCCGGCCCGGCAGGCGCCCCGCGGGGGACCACGCACCGGCCATCCCCCGGCTCCCCTGGGCCCCAGGGTGCGCGGGACTCACCGGTGACGCGCAGGAAGCGCAGCCCCTCCGACTCCGGAGCCGGACGCGCCGTCAGCTTCTCCCCGTCCAGCTCCGTGGCGGCCGCTGCTGCTTCCGGGTTTCCGGGTTCGGCCCGCCCCTACGTATACTACGTGCGCTCGGGGGCGGGGCCTCGGCCTCCCCGGCCAATGGCGCCGCGGCACGGCCGCAGAGTGGCAGGCGCAGCGGGGATGGGACGCGTGACAGTGTTGACGTTTCTAGGGACGCCGCTCGGCCCGCTCCCGCTCCCGCAGCCCGCAAGGCTGAGAAGGGCCCGCCGATCGCCGCGTCTCTCCTCCCGTCCGCGATCCAGTCCTCTTGGGGCGGGGCGATCCCAACGATGGCCCCCGAACGCTCGCTGTCACTGGGACACCGTCCCAGGCAGGACAGCCCGGCCCTCTGCCCCCCACGTCCTGCACCCACTCAGAGCTGATCGGATGCGGCCAATGCCACCCCACCTGCAGGACCTCCATCCCCGTTGTGGAGGGACAGAAGGCAGCCGATTCTCACGGTGGATGTGTATTCCTGTTCCTGAAATCAATAAAAATGTGTTATTTTCTTTTAGAGAGAAACGCAGTGGCGGCTGTGCCAGCTTGCAGGGCTGTGGGTGGGGACGGCCTGCCTGGGAGGAGGCACTTCAAAAGGCAGAGAAATTAGTGTCTCTCTCGGGAGGACCCTGTCCTAGGGCTGCCTGACCATGGCTGCAGGGTCACAGGCTGAGGGTGAGGGTTCGAGAGCAGAGTCCCTTCCAGAGGCCCCAAAACCTCGAGTGCCTGGTAAGTTCGCCTCCGATGCTGAAGTACATGTGCTTCTGGTCTCTGTTCTTTGGAGCTTTGGCTGCAGAGGAGACCATTATAACCACCACATGCCCTCCAGCCGGTGTGGCTCAGTGGTTGACCTTCGATCTATGAAGCAGGAGGTCGTGCGGTTCAATTCCTGGTCCGGACACTTGCCCGGGTTGTGGGCTCCATCCCCAGAGTGGGGCATGCAGGAGGCAGCGGATTGATGGTTCTCTCATCATTGGTGTTTTTCACTCTCCCTTCCTCTCTGAGATCAATGACACATTAAAACACACACACACACAAAACCTTTTTTAAAACCCAGCAAGCGAGCCAAAACCGGTTTGGCTCAGTGGATAGAGCGTCAGCCTGTGGATGGAAAGGTCCTGGGCTCGATTCCGGTCAAAGGCATGTACCTTGGTTGTGGGCACGTCCCCAATAGGGCATGTGCAGGAGGCAGCTGATCCATGTTTCTCTCATCGATGTTTCAACTCTCTATCCCTCTCTCTTTCTCTCTGTAAAAAATTAATAAAATATATATTTTAAAAAAAAACCAGCAAGCGAAATGGCAAATGCACATATGTGGATATAAACACAACTTGATATGTATGTTATTTTGAATAACAATTTTCAAAACTTCATATTTTCTGAAGGCGTTAACATCATAGATATTTTAACGCCTACAAACGTCGAGTTTAATGCCAAGAAAAGGGGCATTGGCAGGGAGTTTTAGTTCAACATTAATAACGGCATCTATGGGGGGAAAATCCCCGTTATTAATCCATATACCCGCTAACACCGCTTTTGGGAATGTTATGTCGCCGTCTTGTGGACACATCTGGTATTGCATCGTTTAAACTTTTGTGTGCCGTTTTTTTGTGCATCCCCAGTGGGGGGGTGTGAAGGAAGCAGTTGATCGATGTTTCTCTCTCATCAGTGTTTCTAACTCTATCCCTCTCTCTTCCTCTCTGTAAGAAAACAATAAAATATATAATTTTTTTTTTAAAAAGATGTCATTGTCTTTATTGAGGGAGTCACGAATCGGGCAGCATGGAATGCTGCAACTAGAAGGGCACTCTGGAGGGTTGTAGAATATGACAGGTTTTTAGAGGAAGAAAGGTGGGTCAAAGGAGCTGTTGAAAAGAGAAAGGAGCCCTGGCCGGTGTTGCTCAGTGCATAGGGCGTTGGCCTCTGGACAGAAGGGTCTGCAGTTCGATTCAGTCTAAGGCAAGTAACTGGGTTGCAGACTAGGCCCCGCCCCCTTTCTCTGTCTCTAAAACTCGGTGGGAAAATATACTCCGTGGGGGTTATCAAGGAAAAAGAAAAGAACGAAGATAGGGGCCATTTGAGCTTTTGCTCCCTGGTATATGTTAGTTTGGCTCAAATGAACACATATAAAATGGGGGTGGGGATGAGGGATTCTCTCTCTTTTTTTTTTAGTTTTTTTTTTTTTTTTTTTTTTTTTAATACATATGAGAGCCTCTTTGGAGGAAGGGAGTGGAGTGTTCCCTTCAAAACCTTCTGGAAAAAACACAGACACCGGAAGTCCCATGTCCCATAGGCTCAGAGAGGCGAGTCCCAGATAGTGGGTGCAGGACGTGGGGGGCAGAGGGCCGAACTGTCCTGCCTGGGAGGGTGTGACAGTGTCAGCGAGCGTGGGGGGGCCATCGCTGCGATCGTCCCGCCCCAAGAGGTCTGGATCGCGGACGGGAGGAGAGACGCGGCGGTGGGCGGCCCTTCTCAGCCTGGAAGGTGACGCGGGCGGCCGGAGCGGGGCTGAGCCGCGTCCCCTACAAACGTCAACACTGTCACGCGTCCCAGCCCCGCTGCGCCTGCCACTCTGCGGCCGTGCTGCGGCGCCATTGGCCGGGGAGGCCTAGGCCCCGCCCCCGAGCGCACGTAATCTATATAAGGGGGCGGGCCAAAAGCCGGAAGCCGGAGCCGGAAGTCAATTCCAGTAGCTGACGCGGCGCAGCCAGGCAGCCCAGCGGCCGCCATGGAGCAGGACGGGGAGCAACTATCGGCTCGTCCGGCTCTGGAGTCGGAGGGGCTGCGCTTCCTGCACGTCACCGGTGAGTCCCGCGCACCCCGGGGCCCAGGGGAGCCGGGGGATGGCCGGTGCGTGGTCCCCCGCGGGGCGCCTGCCGGGCCGGGAGGGGCGGGGCCTGGGAGCCTCTCCCTCCCGGAGCCGCGCTTCCCGAGGCGGCGGTGGCAGCGGCCGCTTTATTTTCAGTTCATTGTTTTGTGTGTGTTTTTATTGGAAATCAAGTCCTGTCCTTGCGGCCCCTGGGATCCCTGGGCCACGGCGCGCGCCTCCGGGCCTCGCTGCGCCCCCTCCCCGCCCGCCCTCGCTCCCAGCCTTCGGGGTCCCCCCACGGTCCCCCCACCTCTCCGAGCGCCGGGGAGTGGGAGGCCTCTGCCCGCCCGAGGCGGCATGGCTCCTCTGTCCCCCAGGAAGCAGTGTTTGTCTTTTCTGTTTCTCACAAACTGTTTTGTTTTGATCGCAGTGGGCTCCCTGCTGGCCGCCTATGGCTGGTACCTAGTCTTCGGCTGCATCGTCCTGTTGGCGGTCGTTCAGAAGCTCTCCGCCCGCCTGAGGGCCTCGGGGCAGAGGCAGCGGGACCCGGCGGCAGCTGCTGTGGGTAAGTACCCGGTACCCGAAAGATGAAACGGAGTGGGGGGGCCCGGGGGCCGGGATGCCAGGACACAGGCTTTATTGGAGAGAAGAGTACCACTGCCCGCTGCCTTCCCGAGAAAGAGCGCGAGGGCACCTTTTAAGGGGAGGATAGAGAGGGGGGTGGGGCTTGGGGCACGGGGCACACGCTGATGGGTGGTTTCATGGAAGGTCTCTGATTAGGGACCTGGGGACTTAGGAATGGGGGGCTTAGGGTATTTGACAGGTGCTGATGGGCGGTTCAGTGCTCAGGAATGTCCGGCTGCAGGTGTTTACATCTGTCCATCAGTTGGAGTAAGGGATGAGCTGTCATTACAGGCTTCTGGTAATATTTTAAAAAAGAGAGTCTGGCTGAAACCGGTTTAGCTCAGTGGATAGAGCAAAGGCCTGCGGACTGAAAGGTCCCGGGTTCGATTCCGGTCAAGGGCATGTACCTTGGTGGCGGGCACATCCCCAGTAGCCCAGTAGCAAGAGGCAGCTGATCAATGATTTTTTCTCATTGATGTTTCTAACTGTCTATCCCTCTCTACTCCTCTCTGTAAAAAATCAGTGAAATATATATATATTTAAATTGAGAGTCCGGGCAAGGTCAGGGGGTGAAGTTCAATCTTCCAGCTGTAAGGGGGCATCGTCTTTTAGGTGCGTCTTCCCGGGGTGTCGGGGATTCTGGTGTCAGGTTCTGAATTCAGTGCCAGATAGATCTCTCCCACCTTCTGGTTGGCGAACGCTTGCATTCTGTTCTGCAACAGACAAGTGAAAGAATGCGTGAGACAGGTTCCAAAGAGCAAAATTAAGAGTCTAAACACCAGTGGGCCTGATAGTGGGAGGAGCCATGGAGTAAGTGAGCCCAAAACAGGTAGTTTTTCCGTGCTGGGTGAAGGGTGCAGCAGCACGATTTTCCCAAGAGACTGGTTGGTGATGTCTGTTGAGTCACTTGGGAGGTAAAAGCTGGTCCTGAGGCTGCCACAGCGTCACTTGTCTGGTTTTGCTGCTTTTCTGGAGCTGAAATACAACTGAGACCTAGCTGTTACTATAATATTAGGGGGGAAAGAGTAGGGGTCTCGGTTGCCTCACTAGTGATATGAAAGGGGAGAATAGGTTACCCTGGGGGTGAGGTTCTTGTTTTCCCAGTTTTTCCCCTTGCTGGGCATCCACATGTTTCCTGTAGGTCCCGAGGCAGGGTTTCAGAGTATGTAGAGCAGTGGTTAAGCTCCCTGAGGCAGTTCCAACTGCTGCTTGTTGCTGAGGGTTAGGAGGAGAGGGATGTGGACTCCTCTTTTGTGTCAGATATGATGGTTACGGGGACCGGTAGAGACTGATTATTGGGGCTACGTCTACATTGGGTGAGAGATAGATGAGAGTACAGGTTCCTGTACAGCTGATGGGGGGGGGGGGGGGAGACAGAGGAAGAAAAATCCCCATCACAGAGACAAGCTGGAAGGTGTAAGGAGAAGAGGTGGGCTAAAGGGTATGCGATTCCTTTTTCTAGTTCCGCACTCCAAGCTGAGAGAGTAGTCACCATGGCGCTACCAATAAGAGGTGACAGATGAGTGATTGAGATTGTACCGCAGTGAAAGTGGGAGGGAAAAGGAAGGAAAGGAGTAGTGAAAGCCAGGCACAGGGATGGTTGGATAAGAGGTTAGACACTGATTGTTCTGGTTTAGCTTAAGGAGCGTCCAGCAACCTTGTCCTGCCAGGCTCGGGGACTGAAGCCTCACTTTCTTGCTCAGAGTAACTTCTAAGGGGTGTGGGGGAGCAGGCTCCGCAGCCTGTTGCCAGGCTAGCCAGGCCTCCTTTAGCCGCTTCGGTCTTAAAGGGCACATTCTTCTTATAGACAGAGGAGATAAAGAGATGAGGCGTTTACAGTCCCAGTAGTGGCTCGGCCTTGTGGGCTGAGAGAGGGAAACTGAGGTAGGTGACTGTGGTTTGGGACAAGTGGGTTTTATGAGGGGATGCACGGTAGACCTGGCCGGGCACCAAGGTAGAATGAGAAAAGAGTGAATGGGGGAATCTGAGGTGGCTAATGGCTGTGAGACTGATCCGTCAACCCCCATGATAGAGACTGAGGAGTGGACGAGGGTCCCAGCAAATTAGGAGGGCAGAATGAGCGGCCCCGGTGTCAATGAAGAAAGAGATGGGCTTACCTGCCACCGCAGTCGTTCCCCGAGGCTCTGTCCTGGTGATAGAAGTCTGTGGGGCCCTGTCAGGGCCTGGGCGGCTTCTTCGGCGGCCAGTCCCAGGAGGTCTGGGAGCTCCAAACCGGGTCCAGAGGGCAGCCATGCTGGACTGGCTGAGGTGAGGCCTGACCCGGAGGAGCCAGATGACAGTCTGATTTCCAGTGGCCTTCCCTTCCGAGCCTCGGGCAGGGTCCAGGCGGGGATCTCGGGTCAGAGCAGGACTTGGCCATTGTCCTTCCGTGCTGCATTGGAGGCGTGGGCCCGGAGGAGGCTCAGCCCCTGAGTTACCCACGGTTGGAGGACCGGCACTGCCTTTGGGGTTTGAAAGCGGTGGCTAGGAGCTGGGAGGCCTCCTGCTGGGCCTCAGCCTGGGCCTGATCTCGGCTTGTTGTTGGATCCGGGTCTCCTCGTCTCTATTGTCAAAGACCTTAGAGGTCAGGCTAACGGGGTCTTTTTGAGGGGTTTGTGGACCTGCATCTAGTTCAGCGGAAAAAGAAACCCGAGATGCCTCTCAGCCTGTGAGGCTGGACATAGAGAACGGGATGTGGACTCGGACTTCGCCCTCAGCTCCTGCTGCCTCCCTCGGGGTGGAGTGGACGCGGGAATGGAAGAGGCCGATGAGGAAGGCGGTCTTTGGGCCGGAGCTGAGGATGTGTGAGATGGCCGGAAGGGCTGCTTTGGAGCTCAGGTTCTCCGGATTCGAGCTCTCAGGGACTGGGGAGGAGGCAGCTGCTGGTTAAGAGGGAACGGAGAGAAAGAGCCTCGGCGGTTTTCAATTTGAGAGCCAGCAGGGAGTGAGCAGGGAAATGGCCAGCTACCTGGGAATGCCTTTGCTGGGGGCCACAGGGCTGGTTAGAATTCTCAGGCAGGAATGCCCCACTGGGAGGAGCTGCACGGGGAGGGGCCTGCCAGCACCACCCACAGCCACGCCACCGGTCAGTGGGCGGGACCAGTGTGTGTGAAGGAAAAAAAAAAAAAATTGCCCTGCAAACTCAGCGGCCGCCACAGGCAGCCCATCCTTCAGTTGCAGGAAGGGAGGACCTATCATCAGTACCGGTGGCAAATGGAGGCTGGGGTTGAGAGTAAGGAGCATTGGATGGGAATCGGCTTATGGGGGGTTAGGGGACGGGAACCACTCTTAAGCTTCCAGAACGGAACGGGCGGGGCAAACGGACATGCGATCCCTTTTCCCGGGGCAGAGGTGCTTCCCGGAGGAGGATTAGCCCCGAGTGAGGCTGATCAGGCCTGGAGTGAGGGAGTGAGGTTGGTTAGGTCTTCCCACTCGCTCTATTCTGACTCGTCACCAGGCGCTCATTGGTTTTCACAATCCTTGCCCCTGAAAGGGTGGCCTTCTCACCCATCAGACCTGGAAACGGTAGCCGTTTCCATAGCAGCAGCATCAAACACGTGGTCATGCATCGGAGTCAGCATGGTTACTGTGGTTGGGGAGGGGGAGCAGATGTCCTGAAATTCCTTAAGCCTTCTCCTTCCCCGTGGGCCGTGGGCCTGCACGCCCAGTCAGTCTCTTGGCTTGTTGGCTGTGTGGGCAACAAGAAAGGACAAAGTGTCAGAAGACGTGATCTTTCCGGGCTGTCTTCTGGAATTCTGGTCAACTGGGCACCGGGTGGACTGACAGCCGAGCGTGCCCGTCAGAGCACTTGCATTTCAGGGCTAGGCCTCTCCAGGTGTCTCTGGATTTGCAGTGGGGGTGGGGGTGGCAGGTGGCAGAAATCGGCATCTCTGCGAGTTTCTGGCGCCGTGGGGCAGCCTCCTCCCCCGGAATCGGCCAGAACAGATGCAGAGGAGGGGGGGGTCCCACGTGTTTGGACTCTGGAGAGTTTCCGAGGCACACGGGGTGCTTTACCTTCCCCGTTCCTCTCTCCTCGCAGCCCCCGAGGACGTTGTGAGACGGCAGGAGGCCGTAGCGGCCGCGCGCCTCAAGATGCAGGAAGAATTAGACGCCCAAGTAGAAAGGCACAAGGAGAAACTACGACAGGTAGGGTTCCTCAGCCACCCACGGGGTCTGAGGTTTAACGGGGAAACACTGTGCAGGGGGGCGAGTCCTGGAGTCGGGGGTTTTTGGCAGCGTCTTTTCAGCCGAGGGCAAGCTCTCCTTGTGCGATCCGTTATGGGGGAGCCAGGAAGGGGCTTCAGGAAATGTCTTGGACTTGGATTTTTGCCTGTGAGTGGCTCTCCCGGCAGCCTTTCAGCCACCGTGTGCGCGTGGCAGCTGTCATGTGTCCTGACGGAGCACACATTCCATGTCAAGCTGTGGGTCTCACATGGCCCGGCCTGCTGGGGAGTCTCTTTATGGGACTGAAGCCCTGGAGAGAGTAGGGACAGGCTGTTGGGTTTCGCCCAGGGCTGAGATGGCTTTTGACAGATTTGTCGGGGGCCCTAGGGGAGGGGAAAGGAAGGACCGAGGATGGAGGACGAGCTGTGAGCCAGTATGTCCCGCCCAAAGGAAATGCAGACTGACCTGCCTCTTCCTTCCAGCGCAGAGGCTCCACCCGGCTCGGCTGGGCCCCGGGACGAGGCTGCCCAGGTGCCGGTAACCGTTGGTACTGGCCCTTTTCTGGGACTAATTGCTCGAAGCATATAGGTTAAAAGAAATCATGCTGGGGGAAGGGGGGTTCCCAAGGCTTACAGACTTGGGGAAGGCAGGCATTAGAGAAGTAGGGAAAAGCTAAAATAACTAAAAGACATTCCTCCAAGAGGATTTACCCCCCCCCCCCCATAGGAAATCGCACAAGGAGAGCATGAAGGGATCTCTGACCCCCTTGGAGGCAGGGGTGTCCAAGGCCTGTGGCCCCTTGGCTGCGAATTTGAGAAGCCTAGTACTTGCAACACACACTAAAAACACCCAAAACCTACCTTTGTAACCAAAGGCTGGGACCGAGCAGGGGCACCCGCCCAGGTTGGGGTGCTGGTCTCTGTCATTTGCCCCCGCTGCCAGTGCCGGCCGCTGGCCCCGGTGCTCCTGAGGATCTCTCCACCTCCTCCTGCTCCTGCTCGCTCCTGCGGGCAATTGGGGCAGTAGCTGCCACTCTCACCGCTTGCTGGTGGCCCCAATCGCTCTGCTCTGTGCCGGTGGGAGTGGGGCTGCCAGCAGACGGGCCTGGGGTGGTGACCTTGTAGCCCCCACTGCCTTTTAAGGTACATGAGGTCATGTATTTGGCCCCTAGTAAAAGAAAAAAAAAATTGTAAAAAGTGCAAATATCTTGCTGGGGTTGACCAGATGGCCCAGCGAAATGTGGCCGCCAGAACGGGGGAAGCGTCTGGGGGTGGTGGCCGACCCAGGGCTCTCCCGAGCCCCGCTCTGGAGGAAAAAGGGCCGGCTCCGGGGCTAGACGTCCCACCGCTGCACGAGGTCGACCTGCAGGCCCCATTGCACCCAACACGGAGGTTCCAAAGTGACATCTAGTCTCGAAGGGATTTTTTTTCTTAGAGAAGCCAGTCAGTCCAGGCCAAAGCGGCCCCCCAACTGCACGCACACACGCCCGGTGCGTCACAAACAACATTTCTGACCTCCAGGCCCATTTCTGCTCTTCCCACCGGGCGTGCGTACATGCAGAAACGGGCCTGGAGGTCAGAAATGCCATTTGTGACAACTTCGACCTCCCCGCGGCACGGACGGACGTCCCCGGGGAGCCCGGGGCGTGTGTGCGTGCACTTGGGGGGTCGCTTTTGCCTGGACTGACTGGCATCTCTGGAAGAAAAAAAAAAAAAAAAAAAGGAACAAAAGCAAAAAATCCCTCCGCGGTTAATGTCACTTGGGAGCGGCCGTGTTGGCCGCACTGGGGCCTGCTGGTCGACCTGGGGAGGCGGAGGGATATCTAGCCCCGGCGCCGGCCCTTTTTCCTCCAGAGCGGGGCTCGGGAGAGCCCTGGGTCAGCCGCCACCCCCGGACGCTTCCCCTGTTCGGCCGGGCCGGATTTCGCTGGGCCATCTGGTCGACCCGGTTTTTAAAAAAAAATTTTTTTTGCTGGGCCATCTGGTCAACCCCCGCAAGGATTTTTTTTTTTTTAAAATTAAGGGCCATCTGGTCGACCTCAGCAAGGGACACCCCCTTCCCCCCCAAAAAAAAAAACAGCCCGGTTAACCTCCCCTATTTCCCCCCCCCTCAGCTTGAGGAGGAGAAACGGAGAAGGAAGATTGAAATGTGGGACAGCATGCAAGAGGGGAAAAGCTACAGAGGCCACGCCGCGAAGCCTCAGGTGAGAGACAGGCCCTCAGCCTTCCACCCCTTTCCAGTTAAACTAATTACTGAGCCTCGTCCGCCTTCCAGGAGGAAGACAGCCCCGGCCCTTCCACCACACCCAGCCTCCCCAAACGGCCAGCGGACAGGAAGAAGCCTCTCCGTGGAAGTGGTAAGGACCACCTCCCCTCTCCGCAGATTTCCTGCTCCTTCCCGCTACGGCTGACAGGGAAAAAAGGGGCTGAGAGTGGCAACACAACTCCACAAAACGGCCTGGCGTGGGAGTTACCCAACAACCTGCCCAGATAAGTAAAAAGGCCCAGTAAAAACGGGTGCGACACCACCACCCCTTCCTTCACCCACTGAAGGGGACTTGGAGAGACACCTTGAGGCAAGCTGGGCAGGAATGACAAGCTTCCTTTTCTTTCCTCTCACCCCCCAGGTTACAACCCTTTGTCCGGAGAAGGAGGGGGAGCCTGCGCCTGGAGACCTGGCCGCAGAGGCCCTTCATCTGGCGGATGAGGCTAAGAAAGCCTTGCCCGTGTCACTCGACACGAAGCAAGCCCAGCCCTTAACCCCCCAAAAAACCCCTTCAATTGCCTTACGCACTTTCTCACAGTGACCAGCCCAGGGGACATGGGGCTTCATTTCTGTTCTCCACTGCCCAGCCCCAGTGGGTAACAGCGGGCCCACACCTCTCCAAAGGAGGCCGCGGGCTCCCAGGTCGGTAAAAACGGCGGGACCTAGAGGAACGGCCCCCCCTCACACCATCCTTGCGCTGCTAGGAGTCTCTGTGACAGGCTGCGTCGAATGACGTCCTCCTTGTAAATGGTGAAGCCACCACCAAGGATTACCGAGGCTCACAGTTGACGGGGTTTTCTGTAAAAGGCCTTTCTTGTACAGACCACTTTTAGAAGGAATAAAACTTTCAGAGCATTTTGCCCATCTCCACCGTGTCTCCTTGCACACAAGGCACCTCCCTCCTCCACAGCCAACTCCTTGCTCCTGGGCCTCCTCCAAGCCCCTAACTCCCAAGTGCTGCCACCCACACTTTTGGGGGGTGGTTGCTGCACCACAGAAGCCTCGCCTTGCTCTCAGAAGAGGGGCAGATAAGGGCAAGGTCCCCCCCACCGAGCAAACCACATCAAGTGTAGCATCACACATCGCTTAAAGGCTGCCCACTAGGAACCACTGCCTATGGCCCCCACAGCCCCTGCAACTCAAGCTCCTTACACCGCCCTCTGAAGGCCTAGGAGCATATGCTGAGCTAGGGGGGTAGGACAAGCAAGTTTCGCTCGGGAGCTATAGATGCCACCTCAATAGGTAATACGTTCCCCACTGGGAAAGCAGCAAAGCCAAGGCTGGACCCTAAGCAGCCAAGAACCTAAAGGGAGTCGTCGAGACCATGTTGTGGGGGGCACACTTCAGGGCAGAAGCCCCACCAAACAGCAGACTCACAGCCAGGAGGTAGGAGCAGGCACACGCACCCATTGAGAAGGCTCACCAGGCCCCAGCTCTACAAGGTCCCAAACAGGACGGAGAGACACGGCTAAAGAGCAAGCAACACACCCATCACAGCACGAGCCAAATAGCCAACACAACCCTGCCGTTCACAGAGCATCAGGGCAAAACGGGCAAAGAGCACACCCCTCCTGGTCAGCAAGAGCAGCCATCACAAGTTGGGCCCAGCTCCAGAGCCACAAGAACCAGCCTGGAGAGTCCAGGCAGCCAGTATTGGGGCACAGGCCCCTCAGTTCTGGGGAAAGGCTTTGGAGGGTGAGGCCCCAGCAGGACCAGAGTTTGCCAGGGCCCTGAAACCCCACGTCAGAAACACACTCACCCTCCCCACGCGCCTTTGCACAAAGAGCTGAGCCAACTGGCTCTCCAAGGTGTGTGCTTTGGGGGGCAGCTGTTTCAGCCATTATTTTCCCCGGGAGCCCAGCGCACCTTGCCCCACCATCACGGCTAGCTTCACCAGGGACCACAGCGGTAGCTTTAGGTGGCTCAACGCAGAGAACACGTATAACTCCACACCCATGGGCATCATTGCAGGCCCAGCAGGGCCCACGCTCCCAAACCACGAGACGAGCTCGGGTGCCAGTGTCCTAAGGACTCGGGCTCTGAATGCCAACACCATGAGGATAAGTAGGAAGAGCGAGGGTCCACAGGGTCCACACATCCCTGCCGGCCCTCCAAGCAGGGAGGACCGAGCCTAAACGGGCACAACACACCCCTTTCTAAGCAAAGAACAACCCCACCACGTGTTAGGTTCCAGCTCAACAGCCATAAGGCAGCAGCGGGGGAAGCTCCCAGCAGAGTCCAGGGCGAAAACGCTCCCACAGTGGAGTCAACAGCCAGGGGGCTGTGAAATGTGAGGTCACCAAGGCCCACCTGAGCGCCTAAGGGCATCACAGAGCCCCCGTGGTGAGAACCGACCCACCACCTTCGGGCACCAAAGCCCGCAAGCAACCCGAGGGGCCTGCAAAGGGGTCCAACGAGGCACATTTGACCGAGGCGTAGGTCACACACGGGTGAGAACCGCACTTACCCATCTTTGGGGCCTAACATCCGCATGCGAGCCGCAGCCCAACCCCTCCTTCTCCATGGGGCGGCAAAGGAGCACAGCCAGCCGTAAAAGGAACTCCACGGGGTAGGGGCGCCAGACACATCCCGCGGTGGGGGCCGCCTCTAGGTGCCCAGACCTCTCCCAAACTTGTCCAACCTCGGAACGCGTTGCCTTGCACGGTCCCGCAAACCGGAGAACGACGGTGTCATTTGCACAGCAAAGGCCCCTGCCCTCTGCGTGGATAGCCTTCCGGAAATCGGTGCGCGAGCCTCACAACGCTTTTCTCTCGCGAGAGTGGGGGCCGGCAGCCCGGGGAAGAGGTTGGAGACACCTGCGGAGCGGAGCCCGCCAGGTGGGGCTTGCTAAGCCGCACCAGGTGCAACACAAGGGCCCCGGGAGCCCGAATGAATGCCAGGCCCCGCGTGGGCCGCATCAGGGGCAAGGGCAGAGGCAGGCGGTGGGACAATACAAGCCGGAGCCAACCAATTCGTTTGCAATTTACTCTAGGGAGGTCGGCCCCTCTCCCTCAGGCCCGAAAAGCCCGATCCCGCGCTCTGCAGCCGGTGGCAGAGCTGAACCCCACACGGCATCCCTGTGTCCACAAGACCTGGTTACCCTCCTGGGCCAGCCATACACACTTGGGTCGGGAAACGGTGAAAGCAAAGGCCCATCTCCCTGTGAGGCACAAGCTTCCCACTACACACAAGCACCGGGACTCAGCAGCGACCCCTGACAGTGCCACGGCCCCCTGGGGCTCTGGGCCCTCTGCGGCTCCTTGGACGGGGCCCTCGGGCGCTTCCACGAGCGAGTAGGCACCCAACTCGGCCCTCACGCCTTGTGGGCCTTCTCTGCGGCTCCTGTGGACCGCGGGTCGGCACCCAACTCGGCCCCCACGGCCTTGTGGGCCCCCATGCGGCTCCTTGGACGGGGCCCTCGGGCGCTCCCACGAGCGAGCAGAGCGAGCAGGCAGACCCGCGGGTTTGGAGGCCCCCACGGCCGGGGGGGCTCCTGCGGCTCCCCGCGGACCGGCCAGGGGCGCTCCCACGAGCCGGAGAGCCCTGGGGATAAGCAGCACCCGGGGCGGACCCCGCGGTGCAAGCCCCCGGCCCCCAGGGCACTCACAGCTCAGCCAGGCATCGCCCTGAGGCACACACAACCTTATATATCTGGTGGTACAACCTCCCAGCAAGCGGATGAATTCTTGAAATGGAGAGTAACCCGGGGGCAATCTGATATCGCCTCCGGGTTCCTGGAACTCTGCCTCGAGCCATCGAGATCAAATTTTAGCCCTTAACCCCTTGGCTCCGGAGCAATAGGAGACCGTGGACCCTCTGTGGCTCCTTGGACGGGCCCCACAGGCGCTCCCCAGAGTGAGCGAGCAGACAGACCCACGGGTCAGCGGCTACCACGGCCCCCCCCGCCGGGTGAACCTCCCGTGGCTCTTGCGGACCAAGCCCACGGGCGCCCCCACAACAGCATCCCCACAGCCGGGTGGGACCTCAGCGGCTCCTGGGGACGAGGCGGACGGGGCCCGTGGGCGCTCCCACGAGCGAGCAGGCAGACCCGCCGGCCGACCCCCAACTCGGCCCCCACGGCCTTGTGGGCCCCCCCTCTGTGGCTCCTTGGACGGGGCCCCCGGGCGCTTCCACGAGCGAGCAGAGCGAGCAGGCAGACCCGCAGGGTCGGCACCCAACTCGGGCCCCATGGCCTTTGGGCCCCTCCTGCGGCTCCTTGGACGGGGCCCTCGGGCACTTCCACGAGCGAGTAGGCACCCAACTCGGCCCCCACGGCCTTGTGGGCCCCCCTCTGCGGCTCCTCGGACGGGGCCCTCGGGCGCTCCCACGAGCGAGCAGAGCGAGCAGGCAGATCCGCGGGGCCGGCACCCAACTCGGCCCCCACGGCCTTGTGGGCCCCCCTCTGCGGCTCCTTGGATGGGGCCCTCGGGCGCTCCCACGAGCGAGCAGAGCGAGCAGGCAGATCCGCGGGGTCGGAGGCCCCCCACGGCCGGGGGGGCTCCTGCGGACCGGCCCAGGGGCGCTCCCACGAGCCGGAGAGCCCTGGGGGGATAAGCAGCACCCGGGGCGGACCCCGGCGGCGCAGGCCCCCGGCCCCCAGGGCACTCACAGCTCAGCCAGGCATCGCCCTGAGGCGCACACAACCTTATATATCTGGTGGTACAATCTCCCAAGAACTGGATCAGTTTTTGAAAACTGAGAGTAACCCGGGGCAATCTGAAATCGCCTCCGGGCTCCTGGAACTCTGCCTCGGGTATCGAGATCAAATTTGAACCCTTACCTTGCTCCGGAGCTATAGAAAAGCAACCACAAGGTGGCGACTGCCAATGGGATAAAAGTCAAAGATGCATCTGTAGGGCGGGGGCAGGGGCGGGGTCCTTGGGGACAGTGTTCACAGGGGAGGGGTGCCCGGTGATTTGTGTTTGGCGGGGAGCTAGATGTCCCCCAATCAGACCTGGCAACCTTATGCTTTCTCCCCACTTTCCCTTTCCTACCTTACTTGGCTGAGTTAAAAATCCTCTCTGGTCGACATACCCGGCGAGGGGCCTATCCCCTGGCTGGACCCTGGGGGCACAAGTGGCTCAAATGGGGTGGGGTGGAGTGGGGGGCTTGGGCCTGACCTGTCCCTCCAGGCAAGTGTTTGAGCCCAAGACCCCAGAGCCCCTCACCTACTCCTAATGCTCACCCCCTCCTACCTGCAGCGGTTGCTTTCATGTCACTAAACATCTAGACACGAAATGCACTCGGCCATGGCACGTATCAGGCAAAGAGCCCAGAGCACCGGCTGTGAGATGTGTGTGTTAATAGCAGGACTTACCTTTGCACCCAAGTTTTCCTCCGTGTCCCACACGGCCTGCAGATGGGTCGCACCGGGGACCGCCTGCCGGTGCCGGTGCCATTGTTTTGCCGCAGCCCGGACTTCCCACAGCAAGGCTCCATGGGAGACAGAAGACAAGCCCGGCAGGGCCCACGGGGGACTGAGGAGCTGTGTCCTGGGACAAGCGGCGACCATGCCGGTTCACGCCCAGAAGCAGTTTCTCTGCGGCCTTTCTTAGTCCAAGGAGCCGGCCAGGCTCCCACGGCCTCACAGCCTGCTTACACATCACTGGTGGCCTCACTGGACCCCCATGGGGTGGGAGCAGGGGGAACAGGAAGGGGCTCATGTTCCCGTTTCCCATTCAGCAAACATGCCTGTTTCTCATTGAAGTAAGTGAAACAGTTCCCGGAAACTGCCTCGAACCCCAGGCGCCGGCGAGAAGGAAACAGATGCTGCTGGTTGGGGATCATCTCCTCCCGTGGCCCCGTTGTGTCCGGCAGCAGCTGGCTCCCAGGCCCAGATGGGACTTGTGCACTCAAGTGGCCAGAAAGGCATGTTCCCTTTGGGACTTCCCTTCCCTTTGCCCTGAGGCAGGTGTGGGGGCCCTGGGTCTTTCTCGGGGGCACACAAGCAAGGCAAACAATGTGCGCGGACAATCTTGCCCCCCACAGTTCACATGAGCACAAACAGATGAAAGGGAGCCTTTTGAGAGCAGCAGGGAAAACGTGGGCCACCCCTCCCCTCCCGCCAACTTCTGTGCAGAGGGCCTCGCCGCCCCTGCAGCGGGAGCATTCCTTCGCTAGGGGACGGAATGCTCCCCACCGGCACCCGGGACCCTACGGCCCCGAGTACACTGCCTGACGCTGTTCTGCTTGAAACACAGGACGGGCTTAGGGAAGTTTAGGAATTACGGGGACCAAGGAGGAAGCACAGGGCTGCAGAGCAGCAGAAGGTCTATTTCTAGAGAATGGGGGAGCTGAACAGCTGCAACAGGTGCATTTCCATAGAATGAGGCCGCTGGGACCTGCAAAAGGCCTGAGTTTACTAAACCTGGGGAGAAGGAGGAAGCCCAGGGGGAAGAGGGAAACAAACAATAAGGACAGGAGAGGGGAGAACCTCACCTGTCCCATGTGAGGTTGGGCCTTTGGGCTCAGGAGTTTGCATAGTAACCGACCCGGGGATATAGTGACTCATCAGAGGGGACACCAAGGCACAAGGCCCTGCGGCCTTTACAAGGTGTGCCCGTTCATACTGCGGGCTCTGCGGTATTCACCGGGATGTGCCAAACCCGCAGTGTTAGCCGGGACGGCTATGAACAAGCCGCAGGGAAAAGGAGCTCCGTGGGTCCCTTCCCCTCTCCCCTCTCCCCTCGGGGGAGGCTGTGCTTGTTCTTCAACAAACCGCCACCGTGGCTGGGCCACCTTCTGCCTGCGGCTTCCTTCTTCCACCGCGGCGGTCAGAGGATCCGGGTTCCGGTCCGAACATTCCCGGTCAGTCTGCTGGGGACACTGACCCATTTCCCACCCGAGAGCCAGGAGCCACGGCTCTCAGACCTTATTTGGGCACTGGGACCATCCGGACTGCCGCTTACCCCCGAACCTCTAGCCCTGCCTCACCGCTGGCTCATTCCCTTTCAAGATCCTGACCGTTTGCAATTCAAATCCTTGCCTCTAACAGGGTCCCCAAAAGTTGGGGAACATGATGTCACCCTGGGGCATGCTGGTGTGAAAGAAAAGAGCCACATGCTAACCTGACAAGCTCAGAGGAGGCCTGCGTGGCAGTCTTGTAAACTCAGAGACCTAAAATAACCACAAAAGACGGTTTGAAATGAAATATTTTAACTACAAACAGGTTAGAGTGGGGTAGTCATGTCCTAGACTGATATTTTCCCAAAGATCAACTACAATCTTCTTTCCTGAGCCCATCTGCCTTTTTGCCTCTAAGATAACATATCTGTGAGATGTCTGGGTAACTTGTAACTTCCCTTTTTGGGCGCCAGGACAGATGCCTCAAATTCCTTCGTTACCATGTTTTAACTGTTCCTGCACTCACCTAAGTACACGTCCATCATTTTACTTTTTATCCAATCCCAGGGGTTTCCCACCGCTTTGCTTTCTCCCGCCTTACTCCATCACCAATGAATTTCATGTAACCCACCTATGAGGTTCTGCTTCCCGGCATATATCTACAGTTTGGCTCAAATAAACTCACTAAAATTCTTAACAGGTTTCACTGTGGTGTTTGTTTGTTTTTCGTTAACACTGGTAACGGTGGTCATTGGAAACCAGCTGGGATGGACCAGGAACTAAAAGGTCTGGTCAGAACTCTCTTTGGGCCAAAAAGAGCCCAAAACAGCTGCGAACCACAAGAGGGCGACACGGTCACAGGGTCCCAGCCCCGGAGCCCTCTGCTTCACACAACAGGCCAAGAGCTTGTGGAAAAGGACCTTCTCTTGTGTGTGTTCCAGGGTTTTCAGGAAAAGCACACCCGGCACCAGGCCCGAGGAGTCTGGGCGCTGCACAAAGGAAGTGCAGGGAGGAGCAAGAATAGAACGAACGGAGAAATGGGTTTGGAAGGAAGTGTGAGCGTTTCCCCGGTCTGAGGAGGCTCTCATTGGCCCTGCGCGGGTGGAACACGCGTGGGCCCGTTTCCACTCCCATTAAACAGGAGCATTTGCACCACATAAGCCCTCACGTCGGATCTATGGTCTCCGGGACCGATATTCTGCTCATTGTTTCAGGGCTTCAACTGGGGGGAAATTGGTGCTTATTGAGGAGGGTCAGAGAGATCAAATGTCCACATAATGAAAAAAAAAAAAATTACAAGGAAAGTTTAACTCATCCTTTGGGAAACCTCGTTAACGTCTTTCCCAAATAACCCCCTAAGGGATTCCCTTTTATGTCCTGGGCACCCGTGTCGTGTTTGGTTATAAAAACACCAGCAAACATCACTGCTTCCTGTTTCGCACCTTGCAGTACCCTTCCCCTCCCACCAGAGGGCGCGCTTCTGGCGCCCTGGTTTATGCTGCAGGGTGTTTTTCCACACAGGCAAGCAGTATTAATACTTAAAATGCTATATTGTGGGCTACAGTGCGTGTACATGTATGTGCACTGTGACAGATGGCTTATTCAACTCTATAGAGTTCGCGTTAGCAGTGTCTATGGGTAGTGGGATCTCACTTTGGTTCCTAGCATGTTGCAGTTCCGTGGTTCCCTGTCTAGCCTGGCTGGTCCCTTTAACCAGCGTGCCATCACCTCGCTCATCTAGAACCTTAGGTATTTCAGTGAATGATTGCTCAATATCGCTGCTCCGGGGCTGTTTGCAAAAACAGGCAAAGGTAGCAGCCAGACCCCTGTCACTGCCCACGGGAGAATGTGATTGGCCCAGGCTCGCCCCTCTTTTGTTTAATCCTCACCCGAGGACATCTTCCCATTGTTTTTTATTTATTTTTATTTTTTTTATTTCAGAGAGGAAGAGAGGGAGACAGACAGAAATATCAACGATGAGAATCATCCATCGGCTGCCTCCTGCACGCCCCCTACTGGGGATGGAGCCTGCAACCCGGGCATGTGCCCTTGGCTGGAATCTAACCTGGGACCCCTTAGTCTCACTGAGCCAAACCGGCTAGGGTTCCATTGATTTTGAGAGGCAGGGAGGGGGAGAAACAAAGAAAAACATCAATTGCTTGCCTCCTGCACTCCCCCAATTCTGGGTTGGGGTCGGCCTACAATTGAGGCATGTGCCCTTGACTGGAATCGAACCCAGGCCCCTTCAGTCCAAGGGCTGGCATTCTACCTACTGAGCCACAGTTTGTCCTTCTTTACAGCCCTACCCTGGCTGTGGGCTCAAGGAGGGGGAGTGCACCTCCGGGCCTCTGATCTGGGGTGGCCCTGGTGGCTTGCTCTGGTCAGTGGCAAGAGGCATCGTGTCCACGGTGTGCTCAGACCTGAGAAACCCCAGTCACTCCCTCCGTGCCTTGGCCGTCACCCAGCCTGTGCAGGAGAAAGCAAGAGCTGAGAGCAAACAGCGGCTGCCGTTCACACCAGTTTTATTAACGTTTAAACATCCAAACATTTTACAGAAGGACGCCTAGTCAGAAATGAGGCCTCCTGGGGAGGGGGGAAAAAAAGAAAAAAAGAGAAATGAGGCCTCCCTCCTGCGGGTCCAGCTTAAAGGCGTACACACACACCACGGGGCGCACAGCCCGGGCAGCAGGCAGTGGGTGTCTGTTCCGCTCTGTGAGGACCAGGCGGTGAGAGCTCAGAATGTGAATTAGAAACGACTGCAGCCGCCGGAGCCTTCGGCGAAGCTTGACGCCAACATTCCACGTTCAAGGCAGGACCCTGTCCCCGGCGGCCGGGCCCCAGACACTCAGGAGCCGTTAGCGATGGTGTCTTCCTCCATCTCCTCCTCCCCGTCGTGGCCGGGGCCTGAGGAGACACAAAGCCAGTGGTCGGCAAACTCATTAGTCAACAGAGCGGCAAACCGAGGCTCTCGAGCTGCAGTTTGCTGACCAACTGGTCTAGCCAACCTGGCAGCGTGCACCGCTGTGAGTTTCCACTTGACACCCCGTGCCCAGCCCGCCCGTGCTCATCCCGAACTCAGTGAGGGAGACCCGGTGCCTAGTGCTGCCTGTAAGCATCTTGCTGAGTCCTCCCACAGGCCTTGGAGCCCTGGCCGGTGTGACTCAATGGCTAGAGCATCAGCCTGCGGAGTGGAGGCTCTTGGGTTCAATTCCAGTCAAGGGCATGACCTTAGTTGTAGGCTCCATCCCCACCCCGGGCCCTAGTCAGGGCTCCTGTGGAAGGTAACCAATTGACATGTCTCTCTCACATCAATGTTTCTCTCTCCCCCACCCCCCCTAAACTCTCTGTAAAAATCAATGGAATAATATCCTCGGGTGAGATTAATAACAAATACTGTTTGTACAAAGTTTCCATAGAAAATTTCCAGGGGCTGGGCCAGTGGGGCTCAGCGGTTGAGCATCAACCTAGGAACCAGGAGGTCAGGGGTTGATTCTGGAGGACACAACCCGGGTTTCGGGCTTGATCCCCAGTACGGGGCATGCAGGAGGCAGCTGACTCATGATTCTCTCTCATCATGAATGTTTCTCTCTCTCTCCCTTCTCTGAAATCAATAAAAATACCTATTATATTAAAAACAAAAAAGAGAGAAAAAGCCAGGCCCTCTGACACAGCACTCTGCATCACTTCTCCTCCAGGAGCATCTGCCGGGACCGTGAAGGTCGGGCCAGGCGGCCACAGGCACTGAACTGCGTGGGGTCACTGTGGGTGACGCGGCCGAGGACGTGAACAGACAAACAGACAGACAGACAGACGTGCATTCTGACCTGCTCGGCGCTCCCTGCCGGGGATCTGGCCCGACTGCAGCAGGCCCTTCAGCCGCTCCACCTCTGCCAGCGTCGACGCGTTTGCTATGGCGTTCTGGGGACAGAGATGGACTGTCACTGCCACCGCGCCCACCCGTCACCCACACAATTCCCCACAACCTTTCTCAACGGCAACAGGAAGCGGTTCCAGTGCAAACAATGCCGGGGGAAGGGTTTAATCGGCACAGAAATCCGCCCAAAACCCGAAACATGAATTTCCAAAATTGATAAAGAATCACAGACGCGCCTACACGAGGGGAAATAATCACGGCGTGCCCTGGAATGCTACAAAACGGAATTCCGACTGGGATCATGGCACTGGATAAGTAGGAGGCAACATTATAAAGTCAGCATTTCTCAGTGATCCAAGCAGGATCTTTCAGAGTAAATATTTGCCAGTAAAAACTTAGGGAGAGAGAGGGAAAAAAAGAAGGAAAAAATGTAAGGCAGACACTGACTCTGAATGCAAAGGTACTAGCTATTATTAAAACTCACACGTCCTGCCCTGACTGGTGTGGCTCAGTGGATAGAGCGTCAGCCTGCGGACTCAAGGGTCCCAGGTTCGATTCCGGTCAAGGGCATGTGCCTTGGTTGCGGGCACATCCCCGGGTGAGGGGTGAGCAGGAGGCAGCCGATCCACGATCTTCTCCCCTCATTGATGCTTCTCTCTCCCTCTCTCTGAAATCAATGAAAACATAGTTTTTAAAAAAGGACAATCCTCCCCCCCCCCCCCACAAAAACCGAGCTGGGTCCTAACAACTGTGGGGGATCCGCAGAACCGATTCAGCCCCGATTCTATGAGCCCCGCCCGCCCGCGGCTGCAGCGTCACCTTGATGGCCTCCACCTCCCCTGGCAGCGGCCCGCCCTTCTTCTTGTCAGCGGGCAAACCCGCTCCTGGGTTGAACCTGGGGGGGGGGGGAAGAACACCACCGTCAAAGGGCAGCCCAGTGCGAAGTGCTCCTCTTACTTTCAAAGCCTTTGAAAGTAACTCAACCAGTGTAGTATCTTATCTTTGTTAACAAACTGATACGAGGAACTGTCTCCTTCAGAAACACCGCTCGGACCGTGGCAGAGCGCGGGACACGTGTGACAATGACACGTGTGACATTGAGACCGGATTTGAAATTGGCTGTGCCCACGACGGGGCAGGAATGTCTCGTGACGCCCGGACCACTGGGGTCCCGGGCTCGCGTGGTGCCAATTGGGCGCTGGGCCGGGCCCAGGCGCTGGGTTTGCGTTTGCAGGAGGCCACGTGGGGCCGAGTGTTTCTGAAGGGGACGCGGAGAGAAGGCGGACGCCGCAGCTTACGTTTTGCTTCTCCTGGCAATATCCTTTGCAAGCTGTGCACCCCGCTTGCCCTTGAACATTTTCTCTGCTTCCTGACGCTCCTACAGCGACACCACACACAGAGTTAATGGAAACAGAAGAGCACACGCGTGTAGATGCATTCCTCAGAAAACACTTCTGACATAGACTGGGCTGGGCAACATAGCAGAGAGCCAAGGTCAGGTTCAAAGGAGACACCGGGCTCCCGCCTTCTCCGGTGAGGCTTCTGAAGGAAGTGCCCTCTCCTCGTCTCCAGGCGGGGCTCCCAGAGAACTAAGGCTCAGCCCGACCCGTGTGGCTCAGGGGTTGAGCATCGATCTAGGAACCAGGAGGTCCCGGCTCGATTCCCAGTCAAGGCACAGGCCCAGGTTGTGGGCTCCAACCCCAGTAGGGGGGGTGCAGGAGGCAGCTGATTGATGGTTCTCTTTCGTGAATGTCTCTCTCCCCCCCTTCCCTCTGAAACCAATAAAAAGACATTAAAAAAAACACCATAAAAACAACTAAGGTTTAAAACGGGTGGGAACATCGGCCCAAGAAATCCTTTGGCCTGGCCCTGCTAGGCATTGGGGGAGTGACTACTTGTTGGGGCTGATGTTCAAGCCCATCACTCTGGTGGCCCGGGAATGACCTTGTAAAGATCCAGAGGGCCGTGGGCAGAGAAGAGGTGCCCAGCCCTGGTTTAAGGCAAGAACAAAACCTCCCCGGTAAAGGGAACCCACTTCCGTGACGAGGCTGCCGAAGGGGACACTGCCAGCTCCCCACGGAGGGTCGTCTCCTGTGGCCCTGCCGCCCGCCTCTCCCACAGGCTGCCAGGACCAGGCCGCGGGGAAAATCCAACTTAATGTTTTCTTTCCGTTAGCATCACAAACCAACAGCAAAACCGTTAGACACTTAAAAACCCCAATAACTATATTAAATCTGAAACCCCCCAGGGGATGCTGACTCCCGACCAGTCACACTTACCTTGAGCTTCACCTTCTGGAAGTCCAGCACGCGCACTTGGGGGACCTTGTAAATGACGTACAGGCGGTAGTGCTTCTTGTTGGTCACGGGGTTCCTGAGAATACTGCAAAGAGCAAAGGTCAAGTTCAAAGGAGACAAGTCCACACGGGGCCTTCCAGGGCGTTCCCTCAACCCCCGGAGCACAGAGCTGGGGACAAGCCACTGATCTTCACCTGCAAGGTCACAGGGAGCATCAGGGAAAGAATAACAGGGCACTGGGCCCGGAGGGGAGCTTTGCACTATTTTCCCTGTGGGGTTCTTGTTGATTTGTGAGAGAAACATCGATCGCTGCCTCTTGCAAGCCCACATTGGGGATCGAGCTGGTAACTCGGGCCTGTGCCCTGAACTGGAATCAAACCGTGACCTTTTGGTGCTAACCATTGAGTCACACAGTCCAGGGCAGCATATTGTTTTTAAATGGTGCTCTTTCCTTCCTTTTTTATGGAGGTTAAGACAAAGTTAGAAGATTTATGAGTTTTAAACATAACATAAATATTTTAAAAAATTTGAACTATTTTTGATTCCAGTTTCCATTCAGCATCCCTTTGTCCTCACTGGCTGGTAAGGTCGAGGCCGGGCAGGGAGTTGTTGTAAAGGACTCACTGTCAGCAGATCATCTCCTACCTCAGGTAAGTCAGCGACTTGAGTGACGCCAGCGGGTCCAGGTCACCCTGTGGGAGGAGAGCAGACGCCCTGCTGAGACGCTTCCCACCCCGGCTGCCTCAGAACGAGGCACCCCCTGGTCCTATCCTCCCGCTCCGGCTCCTGATCGGCTTCTAGCGAACAAGCGGACAAATGCCCGTGAGCTTCTGCACCTTCCCACGTTGGCCATGACAGCTCCTGTACCCTCAGAGGCGCTGCCTTCAAAAGCCCGTTAAACACACAGCGAGCTGGTGTGAGGGCTGCAGTGGCTCAGGCCCTGCATTGCCTAGGCGGGTAGAGGTGACACTGGTCACCTTTAAACGTGGACAAACGTGGACAGACAGTGGCTCACCAGCTCCACGAGGCTGTTGTTGGTGAGGATGAGCTCCGTGAGGCAGGGCAGGGCCTGGTCCAGCGCCTCGCCGATGCGGCTGCAACAGAGCAGAAGCCCAAGTCAGCGACGGGGAAGCCGCGGACAATGTGACCCCGTCCTGCTCGGAGGAGTTCAGACTCCAAGTGGCCAGAACCTGGGAGGCTGTTCTCCCGAACCCGAGCGACAGAGGCACAAAGACAGACCCTGCATGCAGGTGGAACCGGCAGCGGGTACACTGTTCACACCGGGAAAACAGATCGCCGGCCCGGCAGGCACTCACCATATCCTGTTGTTGTTCACCAGGAGGGTCTTCAGTCTCCTCAGCAGGGGGAAGCCGTCCAGCTTCCGGATTTCATTGTCAGAAAAATCAATGGCATCGAACTGGTCCAAGGTGGCACCCAGATTCTCGATGACAGGGATTTTATATCCTGTGACAGAGGAAAGGCCACGGGAGGAATGACAGGACTGAAAGGCACCGAGGCCCATCAGCAGAACTGCCCCGTCATTTGAGTTCAGGCTGGCATCCATTCATTTAGAAAGTGTCTACCTAGGCCCAGGCGGTGTGGCTCAGTGGTTGAGCATCCACCTGTGAACCAGGTCACAGTTCCATTCCCGGTCAGGGTACATGCTCAGGTTGTGGGCTCCATCCCCAGTGTGGGGTGGGCAGACAATCCATGATTCTCTCTCATCATTGATTTCTCTCTCTCTCTCTAAAAAGCAATTTAAAAAAAGTGTTTACCAAGCACCCAGGCCAAGCTCTGCCAGGGCCCAAGCCCCAGCACGCCATGATCACGGTGATGAACATGGCTTCTCCGGCAACTTAATTTCGTAAAAGTAGAAGTTCTCGGGCCTTGGCCGGTGCGCTCAGTGGTTAGAGCGCCGACCCACTCAAGGAAGGGTCAGGGGTTCGATCCTGTGCTGTGGTCACAACGAACCGATGTCTCTCCGTTGATGTTTCTCTCTTTCCCCCCTCCTTCCTCTCCCTCTTTCTCTCCCTCTTTCTCTCTCTCTCTCTCTCTCTCCCCCTAAAAAAAGCAAAGCACCAGCACGTGCCCTGTCCACTCTGACGCCATCGCCTGAACGTGTTTCCTGAGAACCAGCCGCTGGCCCGGCGCTGGGGTCACGGCCCCCGACTCCAGGCTCGGCGCCCGCGCGGATCAGACCGAGACACCGGCCCACGGGTCCGGGCCGGGAGCGACCCCACTCCCTCCGCCCCGCCCCGCCGGCCACACGCGCCCGGGACGGCCTGGCGCAGCCCGCCCACCGCGGGGCCCACGAGGCCGCCCGCTGCCCGCGCTCACCCCGCAGGTCCAGCTCGCGGTCCCGCACGGCGTTGGTGTACTGCGCCGCCTGCTCGATCAGCTCCGCCGTCAGCTTCACCATGTTGCCACTTCCCTCCGCCCGGCCCGCGGCGCCCGGGGCCTCCCGCCAACACTCCTCTTTGCGGGCCTCAGACACACTTCCCGGCGTGCCCCGCGCCCTCACCAAGACGCCCCTTCCGTCACGTCCGGCGGGCCAAAATGACGCATTTCCTGGTGTACCCTCGAGTGACGCAATACGCACCTCCACGCATGCCCCGAGTCTACGCTGACGCACTTCCCGGCGTGCGCCGCGTTGACGCAAGACGCACTTCCCGGCATGCAACGCGCCCGACGCAAAAACGCACCTCCCGGCATGCCCCGTTTCGACGCTGACGCACTTCCCGACATGCAACGCGACAGACGCAAGACGCGCTTCCCGGCATGCCCGGCGTCGCCGCTTAGACGCGCTTCCCGGCGTGCACCGTGTGCCCATTCCCTGGTACGCTTCCCAGCGTGCCTTGCGCCCGCCCGCAGGCCGTGTTAATCGATCCAGTTATCGTACCCGCGCGCCGCCAGGCGTCCGGGCCGAAACAGTGGAGGAGCCGGGCTCCGGTTCTTTCACGGTTCGGAGGTCCGGGGCGCCGTGGCTGCGTCCCCGGTTCTGGTTGCCTTCCGGGGGGCGTCTCTGCAGCCTGCAGGGGCCCCGATTCCACACATTAGTATCCGCCGCTTCAGCAAAGCGCTAAAGCGCTCCGGTCTGTGACAGGTCCCAGGAGGGGAACGGGGAAGAGGCGAAGGCTCCTGCAAAGTGCGCCTCTCACGGGAAGGGGGTGCCGGCGGGGCCTCTGGCCGCCTGCCGAGGGCTTTCCTGGGACAACGGGCCCATTGCAATCCCCTCAGAGGACTGGAGGGCAGACACGCATCAGAGGGAACCCCCGATGCGGGTGGTTGTGCAGGAGAGGAGGAGGCCCTGGTTTACGGAAAATCGCCCCTGCTATTTGGGAGAAAAAGAAATTAAAACGTGTGCGGGGTCACGGGGTATCACACGGGTAATGTCAGATTGCTGGTGAAGACAGGCCTCTGTGCTGTACTTGTCACTTTACTGTACTTTTGCTTGGGGATGGCTGAAAAAAAAAAAAAAAAGTTTAAGCGGTGCAATACCAGATGTGTCCACAAGACGGCGACATAACACCAAAAAGCGGTGTTCGCAGGTCTATCCATTAATAACGGGGATTTTCCCCCCCATCGATGCCGTTATTAGATAATGAACTAAAACTTCCCACAAATGCTCTTTTTTTTTTTTTGGCATTAAACTCGCCGTCTTTTAGGCGTTCAAGTATCTATGATGTTAACGCCTTCAGTAAATAGGACATGAAGTTTTGGAAGATTGTTATTCGAAATAGCATCCGTATCAAACCGCATAGTTATCTAAATATGTGCACTTGCCATTTTGCTTACCGGGCTTTAAGAAAGTTTATTTTTTATTTTATTTTAAAAAATATATATTTTATTGATTTTTTTATTTTTTTTATTTTTATTTATTTATTTTTTTTACAGAGAGGAAGAAGGGAGAGGGATAGAGAGCTATTATAGAAACATCGATGAGAGAGAAACATGGACCAGCCGCCTCCTGCACACCCACCACTGGGGATGTGCCCGCAACCAATGTACATGACCTTGACCGGAATAAAACCCGGGAACCCCTCCGTCCGCAGGCTGACGCTCTATCCACTGAGCCACACCGGTTTCGGTGAAAGGTTTTTTGTTTGTTTGCTTTTTAATATGCTAGGGATCTCAGAGTTCCGAGGAGGGAGCCAGACACACTGGAGCCGGATGAGCTGGAGAGGAAGTTTAAGGCACAGGCTGTTACAGGTCCCGGAGCCAATTGGAGCCAATCGGTGCATTTACTGTGAAATATCGGGGCTCTGTCCACAGGGACACCCCGGAGGCCCTGCTGGGCTTCGGGCCTTGGGGCGGGGAGGCCCCGGGGCGTGGGCTCTGACCTTCTCGGGGTCACGCCATCTAATGGAATGATGCAGACACAGACCCCCCCCCCCTCCTCTACCTGCCCCAGGTCATACACTTCACACCCCCACACAGGACCGAGGCCCCGTGCTTGCCGTTCGCTTTGGTCTGAAGATTCGGTAAACGTGGGGGGTGCCCAGGCCTGGGCCTTGGTCAGTGCCATGGGCAGCAGGCAACCGATCGATGTGTTTATCTCGCGTGATGTTTCTCTCTGTTCCCCCCCCCCCGTCTCCTCCACTCTCCCTCATCATCAATGGAAAACTATCCTTGGGTAAGAATTAAAAAAAGAAAATAGCCGAGACCGGTTTGGCTCAGTGGATAGAGCGTCGGCTTGGGGACTGAAGGGTCCCGGGTTCGATTCCAGTCAGGTGCATGGACCTTGGTTGCGGGTACATCCCCAGTAGGGGTTGTGCAAGAGGCAGCTAATCGATGACTCTCTCTCATTGATGTTTCTAACTCTCTATCTCTCTCCCTTCCTCTCTGTACAAAATCAATAAAATATATTTAAAAGAAAAAATAATAAAAACGCCGCAAACCTCACCGCTTCCCGTTCCACACCTGCAGCGCCCTCTCTCCTCCGCCAGAGGGCGCGCTTCTGGCTCCCTGGTTTCTGTCTGCCGCTGTGCTTCGTTCTTGGCCGGAAGCTGGGCGAGTCACCCACTCACTTCTCTCTTCCCCTCTTAAGTGCACCCTTGGGTTAATCCGAATCTTTTCCTGCCGCCAACGACGACGTGGCCAAGCCCTAACCGGTGTGGCTCAGTGGATAGAGCGTCGGCCTGCGGACTGAAGGGTCCCGGGTTCGATTCCGGTCGAGGGCATGTTACCTCGGTTGCGGGCCCATCCCCGGTGCAGGGGGTGTTGCAGGAGGCAGCTGGTCGATGTGTCTCTCTCATCGATGTTTCTAACTCTCTATCCCTCTCCCTTCCTCTCTGTAAAAAAAAACACCAATAAAATGTTAAATAAAAACAAGAGCCTTCCCCAAGTGTCCGCTCTGTGCTGGTAAGCCTGGAGGAGAATTCCCAGAAGTGGGATGGCTGGGTCAGAGGTCAATGCCCTTGCAATGTGCAATCTGGACAGAACTGCCTTCCAAGTGGGCTGCAGGGCGTGGCTCTCCTGCCCGCAGGCGGGGGCCGGAAGGGGGGCGGGAAGCTCTAAATGGCTGTGAAGTTTTCGGGGGGCCTGGGGGGAGGAGGGCGCGGGGGTGCTGGTACCCGGCTGCCCGTTTGCTTCTTGTGAAACTTCCTGCACCGACCACCCTCGGGCAGCGAGAGCCGGCAGACAGGTTGGGGTTGCCTAGCGCCTCGGGCCTGTGCCGTCTCTCAGGGGCTGGCCGGGCTGCTTTCAGGGAGGGCACCTAGCGGCCAGGGCCCCAGGAAAGGGCGTGGGGTGGGGGGTGTCGCCGGGGCCCCACGGCCCCATCAGGCGTCTGATCTGAGGAGCGCGATGGTGATCAGTGATCACACACCAGCCCCCGCGGAGCCCCGAGAGCGTTTGCCACCAGCTTTTCTCTTGGTTTCCTTTCCTTTTCTTTTTAAAAAAATATATTTTGTTGATTTTTTTTACAGAGAGGAAGGGAGAGGGAGAGAGAGCTAGAAACATCGATGAGAGAGAAACATCCACCAGCTGCCTCCTGCACACCCCCCACTGGGGATGTGCCCGCAACCAAGGCATGTGCCCTTGACCGGAATCGAACCCGGGACCCTTCAGTCCGCAGGCCGACGCTCTATCCACTGAGCCACACCGGTTTCGGCTTTACGTATATTTTATTGATATTTTACGGAGAGGAAGGGAGAGGGAGAGCGAGCTAGAAACATCGATGAGAGAGAAACATCCATCGGCTGCCTCCTGCACACCCCCCACTGGCGATGTGCCCGCCACCAAGGTCCGTGCCCTTGACCGGAATTGAACCCGGGACCCTTCAGTCCGCAGGCCGTCGCTCTAACCACTGAGCACACGGCTAGGCTGCTTTCTTCCTTTCTTTTTTCTCTCTCCCTCCCTTCTTCCCCCCTTCCCCCCCCTCTGCTTCCTTCCAAACCAGCACGTCTCTAACTCCTGCTCAGAAGACCGCCCGCATCGCCAAACCCCTCGCCGAGCCGAGCCCTGGCGTCCGCGGCCTTCTCTCCGCCGAGGGGCCCCGGGCACCATGCATGAGGCGGCCCTGCAGCCCGGCCCGGGCCCGACTCCCCGGAGGCCCGACCCTGCTCCTCACCGGGTGCGAGAGGCGGACAAAGGCAGATCCGTGGTCCCCGCAGAGCCCGCTGACAGCCCGCCAGGCGGCGGGGACAGCTGGGGAGTGTCCGGCGCCGGGGGGGGGCTCCGGGCTCCGCTCCAGCAGCTGCACACGGAGGCCGGAGCGGCTCCCGGGGGGCCGGGGGCGCCTAGGAGGGGGCCCTGGGCCCCGCTCGCCCTCCGGATGCTGACGGGGATGCTCAGGCCCCCTGCCCGGGCCCGTCCACCGAGCGCCTGGCTCTTTGGCCCCTGGAGGGCGGCTCTCCCACAGAACACCGCGGCCTGGGCGCGCCTGTGCTGAAGAAGTGGCGTCAGAAGATGTTTCCGTTAGAAAACTGGGGCTCTGCAAAGCTGTGGGCCGGTGGCTCTGTGGACGCAGGAGTTTGCCGACCGGGGGCCTAGGAAGCAGCCGCACCTGTGGCTCGCTGGAGCCAGACCGCCCACCGTCGCCAGGATCGGCTGCCTCCTGCACGGCCCCCCAACGGGGATCCGGCCTGTAACTGGGCATGCACCCTTGACCGGAATCGAACCCGGGACCCCTCAGTCCGCAGGCTGACTCTCTATCCACTGAGCCACACCGGCTAGGGCCATATTATTTAAAAACAAAAAACAAAACAAAAAAAACCCATGCCAGGACCAGTTTGGCTCAGTGGATAAGAGTGTTGGCCTGCAGACTGAGGGGTCCCGGGTTCGATTCCGGGCAAGGGCATGTACCTTGGTTGCGGGCACATCCCCAGTGGGGGGGTGTTCAAGAGGCAGCTGATCGATGATTCTCTCTCATCGATGTTTCTAACTCTCTGTCCCTCTCTCTTCCTCTCTGCGAAAAAC